CTGAGGATATCCGCCCGAGGATATCCTCCCGAGGATATCCGCCTGAGGATATCCGCTCGAGGATATCCTCCCGAGGATATCCTCCCGATGATATCCTCCCGAGGATATCCTCCCGATGATATCCTCCCGAGGATATCCGCTCGAGGATATCCTCCCGAGGATATCCGCTCGAGGATATCCTCCCGAGGATATCCTCCCGAGGATATCCGCCCGAGGATATCCGCTCGAGGATATCCTCCCGAGCATATCCTCCCGATGATATCCTCCCGAGCATATCCTCCCGATGATATCCTCCCGAGGATATCCGCCCGAGGATATCCGCTCGAGGATATCCGCTCGAGGATATCCTCCCGAGGATATCCTCCCGAGGATATCCTCCCGAGGATATCCTCCCGCGGATATCCTCCCGAGGATATCCTCCCGAGGATATCCTCCCGAGGATATCCGCCCGAGGATATCCTCCCGAGGATATCCGCCCGAGGATATCCTCCCGAGGATATCCGCCCGAGGATATCCGCTCGAGGATATCCGCTCGAGGATATCCTCCCGAGGATATCCTCCGAGGATATCCGCTCGAGGATATCCTCCCGAGGATATCCTCCCGAGGATATCCTCCCGAGGATATCCGCCCGAGGATATCCTCCCGAGGATATCCGCCCGATGATATCCTCCCGAGGATATCCTCCCGAGGATATCCGCCCGAGGATATCCGCCCGATGATATCCTCCCGATGATATCCGCCCGATGATATCCTCCCGATGATATCCGCCCGATGATATCCTCCCGATGATATCCTCCCGAGGATGTCCGCCCGATGATATCCTCCCGAGGATATCCGCCCGAGGATATCCTCCCGAGGATATCCGCCCGAGGATATCCTCCCGAGGATATCCTCCCGAGGATATCCTCCCGAGGATATCCTCCCGAGGATATCCTTCCGAGGATATCCTCCGAGGATATCCGCCCGAGGATATCCTCCCGAGGATATCCTCCCGAGGATATCCGCCCGAGTATATCCGCTCGAGGACATCCGCTCGAGGATATCCTCCCGAGGATATCCTCCGAGGACATCCTCCCGAGGATATCCTCCCGAGGATATCCTTTCGAGGATATCCTCATGATGATATCCGCCCGAGGATATCCTCCCGAGGATATCCTCCCGAGGATTTCCGCCCGAGGATATCCTCCGAGGATATCCGCCCGAGGATATCCGCCCGAGGATATCCGCCCGAGGATATCCTCCCGAGGATATCCTCCCGAGGATATCCGCCCGAGGATATCCTCGCGAGGATATCCTCCCGAGGATATCCGCCCGAGGATATCCTCCCGAGGATATCCGCCCGAGGATATCCGCCCGAGGATATCCTCTCGAGAATATCCTCCGAGGATATCCTCCGAGGATATCCGCTCGAGGATATCCTCCCGAGGATATCCTCCCGAGGATATCCTCCCGAGGATATCCTCCCGAGGATATCCTCCCGAGGATATCCTCCCGATGATATCCGCCCGAGGATATCCTCCCGAGGATATCCGCCCGAGGATATCCTCCCGAGGATATTCCCCGAGGATATCCTCCCTCCCGAGGATATCCTCCCGAGGATATCCGCCCGAGGATATCCTCCCGAGGATATCCTCCCGATGATATCCGCCCGAGGACATCCTCCCGAGGATATCCTCCCGAGGATATCCTCCCGAGGATATCCTCCAAGGATATCCTCCGAGGATATCCGCTCGAGGATATCCTCCCGAGGATATCCTCCCGATGATATCCGCCCGAGGATATCCGCTCGAGGATATCCGCTCGAGGATATCCTCCCGAGGATATCCTCCGAGGATATCCGCTCGAGGATATCCTCCCGAGGATATCCTCCCGAGGATATCCTCCCGAGGATATCCTCCCGAGGATATCCGCCCGAGGATATCCTCCCAAGGATATCCTCCTGTCGAAGAACCTTTCTCCTCTCAGCCCCTGCTCTTCTTCATGCACCTCCTCTGTTGGAGAACCTTCCTCTTCTTCCTGCACCTGCACTTCACCCTGCACTTGCTCTTCTTCCTGCCCCTGCTCTTCACCCTGCACCTGCTCTTTTTCCTTCCTTGCTCTCGCCTGCCATCTCTTCCCCCGCTTCTCAGCCCCATCTCCTCTCTCCCCCTCCATGCCATGAGAGCACACTGCACGTGCTGCTCCACCTCCTCTCCCCCCCCTTCTCCCGCGTACATTCCTGCCTCCGCCTCCCCCTTCAGCCCTGTTGCCCTCAGCTGTGCCTGCAACCTGCTAATCTGCCGCTGCAGCTCCTCTGGATGCCTCCTACTCCCCCCTTCCCTCTGGTAGCAATCCTTCGCCTCATGTCCCTGCCTTTTGCAGATTTCACACCGGGCTGCATCCGGGCATTCCCGCTTCCTATGCCCCGGCTTCCCGCACCCATCACGGTTCTTGCAGTCCCTGCGCAGATGACCCGGCTGTCCACACCTGTGGCATGTCCTGGTATCCGCCCCAGTCTCCCCTCGTCCCTCCGTTCTCCCTCCTCCTCCCGGTATTATGGCCGCCGCCCACGTTGGCCGCCTACTCCTCTCTGCTGGCCTGGGGAGATATGCCTCGAATTTCCTTTGCGCGAGCTCCACCCTCTCCGCCAGGGCGAACACCTCCTCCAGGCTTGCATCCGCTCGGATATCCGTCGTTTTGCGGATATCCGTTCGAATCCGTCGTTTTGCGGATATCCGTTCGGATATCCGTTCGGATATCCGTCGTTTTGCGGATATCCGTTCGGATATCCGTCGTTTAGCTTATATCCGTTCGGATATCCGTCGTTTTGCGGATATCCGTTCGGATATCCGTCGTTTTGCGGATATCCGTTCGGATATCCGTCGTTTTGCGGATATCCGTTCGGATATCCGTCGTTTTGCGGATATCCGTTCGGATATCCGTCTTATTTGCGGATATCCGTTCGAATATCCGTCTTATTAGCGGATATGCGTTCGGATATCCGTCGTTTTGCGGATATGCGTTCGGATATCTGTCGTTTTAAGGATATCCGTTCGGATATCTGTCTTTTTGCGGATATCCGTCGTTTTGCAGATATCCGTTCGGATATCCATCTTATTTGCGGATATCCGTTCGGATATCCGTCATATTTGCGGATATCCGTTCGGATATCCGTCATATTTGCGGATATCCGTTCGAATGTCCGTATTATTTGCGGATATCCGTTCGGATATCCGTCATATTTGCGGATATCCGTTCGGATATCCGTCGTTTTGCAGATATCCGTTCGGATATCCGTCGTTTTGCGGATATCCGTTCGGATATCCGTCGTTTTGCGGATATCCGTTCGGATATCCGTCGTTTTGCGGATATCCGTTCGGATATCCGTCGTTTTGCGGATATCCGTTCGGATATCCGTCGTTTTGCGGATATCCGTTCGGATATCCGTCGTTTTGCGGATATCCGTTCGGATATCCGTCGTTTTGCGGATATCCGTTCGGATATCCGTCTTATTTAGGATATCCGTTCGGATATCCGTCGTTTTGCGGATATCCGTTCGGATATCCTTCGTTTTGCGGATATCCGTTCGGGCATCCGTCGTTTTGCGGGTATCCATATTTCAGATATCCGTTCGGATATCCGTCGTTTTGCGGATATCCGTTCGGATATCCGTCTTATTTAGGATATCCGTTCGGATATCCGTCGTTTTGCGGATATCCGTTTGGATATCCGTCATATTTAGGTTATCCGTTCGGATATCCGTCGTTTTGCGGATATCCGTTCGGATATCCGTCGTTTTACGTATATCCGTTCGGGCATCCGTCGTTTTACGGATATCCATATTTCGGATATCCGTTCGGATATCCGTCGTTTTCCGGATATCAGATCGGATATCCGTCTTATTCGCGGATATCCGTTCGGATATCCGTCTTATTCGCGGATATCCGTTCGGATATCCGTCTTATTCGCGGATATCCGTTCGGATATCCGTCTTATTCGCGGATATCCGTTCGGATATCCGTCTTATTCGCGGATATCCGTTCGGATATCCGTCTTATTCGCGGATTTCCGTTCGGATATCCGTCTTATTCGCGGATATCCGTCGTTTTGCGGATATCCGTTCGGATATCCGTCGTTTTGCGGATATCCGTTCGGATATCCGTCATTTTGCGGATATCCGTTCGGATATCCGTCGTTTTTGCGGATATCCGTTCGGATATCCGTCGTTTTTGCGGATATCCGTTCGGATATCCGTCGTGTTGCGGATATCCGTTCGATAATCCGTCGTTTTGCGGATATCCGTTCGGATATCCGTCGTTTTGCGGATATCCGTTCGGGCATCCGTCATATTGCGGATATCCGTTCGGGCATCCGTCGTTTTGCGGATATCCGTTCGGATATCCGTCGTTTTGCGGATATCCGTTCGGAGATCCGTCTTATTTAGGATATCCGTTCGGGCATCCGTCGTTTTGCGGATATCCGTTCGGATATCCTTCGTTTTGCGGATATCCGTTCGGGCATCTGTCGTTTTGCGGATATCCATATTTCGGATATCCGTTCGGATATCCGTCGTTTTGCGGATATCCGTTGTTTTCCGGATATCCGTTCGGATATCCGTCGTTTTGCGGATATCCGTTCGGATATCCGTCGTTTTGCGGATATCCGTTCGGATATCAGTCTTATTTAGGATATCCGTTCGGATATCCGTCGGTTTGCGGATATCCGAACGGATATCCGAACGGATATCCGCAAACCGACGGATATCCGAACGGATATCCTAAATAAGACTGATATCCGAAGGGATATCCGCAAAACGACGGATATCCGAACGGATATCCGCAAAACGACGGATATCCGAACGGATATCCGGAAAACGACGGATATCCGCAAAACGACGGATATCCGAACGGATATCCGAAATATGGATATCCGCAAAACGACAGATGCCCGAACGGATATCCGCATAACGAAGGATATCCGAACGGATATCCGCAAAACGACGGATGCCCGAACGGATATCCTAAATAAGACGGATCTCCGAACGGATATCCGCAAAACGACGGATGCCCGAACGGATATCCGCAATAAGACGGATGCCCGAACGGATATCCGCAAAACGGCGGATGCCCGAACGGATATCCGCAAAACGGACGGATGCTCGAACGGATATCCGCAAAACGGGCGGATGCCCGAACGGATATCCGCAAAACGGACGATGCCCGAACGGATATCCGCAAAACGGCGGATGCCCGAACGGATATCCGCAAAACGGCGGATGCCCGAACGGATATCCGCAAAACGGGCGGATGCCCGAACGGATATCCGCAAAACGGGCGGATGCCCGAACGGATATCCGCAAAACGGCGGATGCCCGAATGGATATCCGCAAAACGGACGGATGCCCGAACGGATATCCGCAAAACGGGCGGATGCCCGAACGGATATCCGCAAAACGGGCGGATGCCCGAACGGATATCCGCAAAACGGCGGATGCCCGAACGGATATCCTCCGCAAAACGGGCGGATGCCCGAACGGATATCCTCCGCAAAACGGGCGGATGCCCGAACGGTCCTCCGCAAAACGGCGGATGCCCGAACGGATATCCTCCGCAAAACGGCGGATGCCCGAACGGATATCCGCCGCAAAACGGGCGGATGCCCGAACGGATATCCTCCGCAAAACGGACGGATGCCTTAACGGATATCCTCCGCAAAACGGGCGGATGCCCGAACGGATATCCTCCGCAAAACGGGCCGATGCCCGAACGGTCCTCCGCAAAACGGGCCGATGCCCGAACGGATATCCTCCGCAAAACGGGCCGATGCCCGAACGGTCCTCCGCAAAACGGGCCGATGCCCGAACGGTCCTCCGCAAAACGGGCCGATGCCCGAACGGTCCTCCGCAAAACGGGCCGATGCCCGAACGGATATCCTCCGCAAAACGGGCCGATGCCCGAACGGTCCTCCGCAAAACGGGCCGATGCCCGAACGGTCCTCCGCAAAACGGGCCGATGCCCGAACGGATATCCTCCGCAAAACGGGCCGATGCCCGAACGGTCCTCCGCAAAACGGGCCGATGCCCGAACGGTCCTCCGCAAAACGGGCCGATGCCCGAACGGTCCTCCGCAAAACGGGCCGATGCCCGAACGGTCCTCCGCAAAACGGGCCGATGCCCGAACGGTCCTCCGCAAAACGGGCCGATGCCCGAACGGTCCTCCGCAAAACGGGCCGATGCCCGAACGGTCCTCCGCAAAACGGGCCGATGCCCGAACGGTCCTCCGCAAAACGGGCCGATGCCCGAACGGTCCTCCGCAAAACGGGCCGATGCCCGAACGGTCCTCCGCAAAACGGGCCGATGCCCGAACGGTCCTCCGCAAAACGGGCCGCTGCCCGAACGGTCCTCCGCAAAACGGGCCGATGCCCGAACGGTCCTCCGCAAAACGGGCCGCTGCCCGAACGGTCCTCCGCAAAACGGGCCGCTGCCCGAACGGTCCTCCGCAAAACGGGCCGATGCCCGAACGGTCCTCCGCAAAACGGGCCGATGCCCGAACGGTCCTCCGCAAAACGGGCCGCTGCCCGAACGGTCCTCCGCAAAACGGGCCGCTGCCCGAACGGTCCTCCGCAAAACGGGCCGCTGCCCGAACGGTCCTCCGCAAAACGGGCCGCTGCCCGAACGGTCCTCCGCAAAACGGGCCGCTGCCCGAACGGTCCTCCGCAAAACGGGCCGATGCCCGAACGGTCCTCCGCAAAACGGGCCGCTGCCCGAACGGTCCTCCGCAAAACGGGCCGATGCCCGAACGGTCCTCCGCAAAACGGGCCGCTGCCCGAACGGTCCTCCGCAAAACGGGCCGCTGCCCGAACGGTCCTCCGCAAAACGGGCCGCTGCCCGAACGGTCCTCCGCAAAACGGGCCGCTGCCCGAACGGATATCCGCAAAACGGGCCGCTGCCCGAACGGTCCTCCGCAAAACGGGCCGCTGCCCGAACGGATATCCGCAAAACGGGCCGCTGCCCGAACGGTCCTCCGCAAAACGGGCCGCTGCCCGAACGGATATCCGCAAAACGGGCCGCTGCCCGAACGGATATCCGCAAAACGGGCCGCTGCCCGAACGGATATCCGCAAAACGGGCCGCTGCCCGAACGGATATCCGCAAAACGGGCCGCTGCCCGAACGGATATCCGCAAAACGGGCCGCTGCCCGAACGGTCCTCCGCAAAACGGGCCGATGCCCGAACGGTCCTCCGCAAAACGGGCCGCTGCCCGAACGGTCCTCCGCAAAACGGGCCGATGCCCGAACGGTCCTCCGCAAAACGGGCCGCTGCCCGAACGGTCCTCCGCAAAACGGGCCGCTGCCCGAACGGTCCTCCGCAAAACGGGCCGCTGCCCGAACGGTCCTCCGCAAAACGGGCCGCTGCCCGAACGGTCCTCCGCAAAACGGGCCGCTGCCCGAACGGTCCTCCGCAAAACGGGCCGCTGCCCGAACGGTCCTCCGCAAAACGGGCCGATGCCCGAACGGTCCTCCGCAAAACGGGCCGATGCCCGAACGGTCCTCCGCAAAACGGGCCGATGCCCGAACGGTCCTCCGCAAAACGGGCCGATGCCCGAACGGTCCTCCGCAAAACGGGCCGCTGCCCGAACGGTCCTCCGCAAAACGGGCCGATGCCCGAACGGTCCTCCGCAAAACGGGCCGCTGCCCGAACGGTCCTCCGCAAAACGGGCCGCTGCCCGAACGGTCCTCCGCAAAACGGGCCGATGCCCGAACGGTCCTCCGCAAAACGGGCCGCTGCCCGAACGGTCCTCCGCAAAACGGGCCGCTGCCCGAACGGATATCCTCCGCAAAACGGGCCGATGCCCGAACGGTCCTCCGCAAAACGGGCCGATGCCCGAACGGTCCTCCGCAAAACGGGCCGATGCCCGAACGGTCCTCCGCAAAACGGGCCGATGCCCGAACGGTCCTCCGCAAAACGGGCCGATGCCCGAACGGTCCTCCGCAAAACGGGCCGATGCCCGAACGGTCCTCCGCAAAACGGGCCGATGCCCGAACGGTCCTCCGCAAAACGGGCCGATGCCCGAACGGTCCTCCGCAAAACGGGCCGATGCCCGAACGGTCCTCCGCAAAACGGGACGATGCCCGAACGGTCCTCCGCAAAACGGGACGATGCCCGAACGGTCCTCCGCAAAACGGGCCGATGCCCGAACGGTCCTCCGCAAAACGGGACGATGCCCGAACGGTCCTCCGCAAAACGGGACGATGCCCGAACGGTCCTCCGCAAAACGGGCCGCTGCCCGAACGGTCCTCCGCAAAACGGGCCGCTGCCCGAACGGTCCTCCGCAAAACGGGCCGCTGCCCGAACGGTCCTCCGCAAAACGGGCCGCTGCCCGAACGGTCCTCCGCAAAACGGGCCGCTGCCCGAACGGTCCTCCGCAAAACGGGCCGATGCCCGAACGGTCCTCCGCAAAACGGGCCGCTGCCCGAACGGTCCTCCGCAAAACGGGCCGATGCCCGAACGGTCCTCCGCAAAACGGGCCGCTGCCCGAACGGTCCTCCGCAAAACGGGCCGCTGCCCGAACGGTCCTCCGCAAAACGGGCCGCTGCCCGAACGGTCCTCCGCAAAACGGGCCGCTGCCCGAACGGTCCTCCGCAAAACGGGCCGCTGCCCGAACGGTCCTCCGCAAAACGGGCCGCTGCCCGAACGGATATCCGCAAAACGGGCCGCTGCCCGAACGGATATCCGCAAAACGGGCCGCTGCCCGAACGGATATCCGCAAAACGGGCCGCTGCCCGAACGGATATCCGCAAAACGGGCCGCTGCCCGAACGGATATCCGCAAAACGGGCCGCTGCCCGAACGGATATCCGCAAAACGGGCCGCTGCCCGAACGGATATCCGCAAAACGGGCCGCTGCCCGAACGGATATCCGCAAAACGGGCCGCTGCCCGAACGGATATCCGCAAAACGGGCCGCTGCCCGAACGGATATCCGCAAAACGGGCCGCTGCCCGAACGGATATCCGCAAAACGGGCCGCTGCCCGAACGGATATCCGCAAAACGGGCCGCTGCCCGAACGGATATCCGCAAAACGGGCCGCTGCCCGAACGGATATCCGCAAAACGGGCCGCTGCCCGAACGGATATCCGCAAAACGGGCCGCTGCCCGAACGGATATCCGCAAAACGGGCCGCTGCCCGAACGGATATCCGCAAAACGGGCCGCTGCCCGAACGGATATCCGCAAAACGGGCCGCTGCCCGAACGGATATCCGCAAAACGGGCCGCTGCCCGAACGGATATCCGCAAAACGGGCCGCTGCCCGAACGGATATCCGCAAAACGGGCCGCTGCCCGAACGGATATCCGCAAAACGGGCCGCTGCCCGAACGGATATCCGCAAAACGGGCCGCTGCCCGAACGGATATCCGCAAAACGGGCCGCTGCCCGAACGGATATCCGCAAAACGGGCCGCTGCCCGAACGGATATCCGCAAAACGGGCCGCTGCCCGAACGGATATCCGCAAAACGGGCCGCTGCCCGAACGGATATCCGCAAAACGGGCCGCTGCCCGAACGGATATCCGCAAAACGGGCCGCTGCCCGAACGGATATCCGCAAAACGGGCCGCTGCCCGAATGGATATCCGCAAAACGGGCCGCTGCCCGAACGGATATCCGCAAAACGGGCCGCTGCCCGAACGGATATCCGCAAAACGGGCCGCTGCCCGAACGGATATCCGCAAAACGGGCCGCTGCCCGAACGGATATCCGCAAAACGGGCCGCCCGAACGGATATCCGCAAAACGGGCCGCTGCCCGAACGGATATCCGCAAAACGGGCCGCTGCCCGAACGGATATCCGCAAAACGGGCCGCCGCCCGAACGGATATCCGCAAAACGGCCGCTGCCCGAACGGATATCCGCAAAACGGCCGCCGCCCGAACGGATATCCGCAAAACGGGCGGCTGCCCGAACGGATATCCGCAAAACGGGCGCCGCCCGAACGGATATCCGCAAAACGGGGCGCCGCCCGAATGGATATCCGCAAAACGGGCGGCTGCCCGAACGGATATCCGCAAAACGGGCGCCGCCCGAACGGATATCCGCAAAACGGGCGGCTGCCCGAACGGATATCAGCAAAACGGGCGGCTGCTCGAACGGATATCCGCAAAACGGGCGGCTGCCCGAACGGATATCCGCAAAACGGGCGGATGCCCGAACGGATATCCGCAAAACGGGCGGATGCCCGAACGGATATCCGCAAAACGGGCGGATGCCCGAACGGATATCCGCAAAACGGGCGGATGCCCGAACGGATATCCGCAAAACGGGCGGATGCCCGAACGGATATCCGCAAAACGGGCGGATGCCCGAACGGATATCCGCAAAACGGGCGGATGCCCGAACGGATATCCGCAAAACGACGGATATCCGCAAAACGACGGATATCCGAACGGATATAAGCTAAACGACGGATATCCGAACGGATATCCGCAAAACGACGGATCCGAACGGATATCCGCAAAACGACGGATATCCGCACAACGACGGATATCCGAACGGATATCCGCAAAATGACGGATATCCGCAAAACGACGGATGCCCGAACGGATATCCGCAAAACGACGGATATCCGAACGGATATCCAAAATAAGACGGATATCCGAACGGATATCCGAAATATGGAT